GTAAAGAATATAAACAACTTGTCCCTGGGCTATAAACAGAAAAAGTTAATTTCAAACACTGGTGTTTACACTACAGAAGTGAGCCAAACCATGCTGAACCAGGCTGAGCCGGCCCTGCTGTACTAACCATGCTGACCTGGTTTGGCCCAGCTCACTTTAGCTCAGTTTGGTTACTGTTTACACTGTCAAATGAAACTGTGTTGTCCCACTTTAAACAGGGCTGGCTCAGTTAAAGAACCTAGTGTAAACACAGTATCTAACCACGCTGACCTGGTTTGGGCCAGCTCACTTTACTGTTTATCAAATGAAACTGCTGGCCCACGTTAAACAGGGTTGGCCCAGTTAAAGAAGCTAGTGTAAACGCAGTATTAGCCCATTTTGCTCCAGTCAGTTCTCATGTACCAATCAATATTCATCCACAACATTATTATACAGTACACATTATATGTTTCATGGTGTTGGTGGGTATGTTGATCTAGTCCAGTATACATCCTCCCATTGAGGCTGTCTGTTTATAAAGGCTATGGTAGTTCAATAGCAGTAGGAAGTGGCTATTATTTCTAAGAACAAGAATGATGATTAGAATTCACAAAATAATGTCAGAAAGGATAATAAAGGTACATGTATAATACCCTCCCATTGACTATATAGCAGTAAGAGGTGTTTATTATTTCTAAGAAATGATAATAAAAATTCATATCCCAGCTAATGTTCAGTAAGGAGAGGAAAGAGACTAATGTATTGTAAGATGAATGCATGCATAGCTACCTGTATGTAATATCAAAAGTGATTATTCACATAATACATTCTTGATGATACTTAATGTTTAATAATTATAAAGCAATTAAGAGTACTTTTGGTATGATACTGATTGTTTTACAATCCTATAATAGTAAAGGTCCATGTATAGCTACATATCTACATGTATAGTATCCTTGATACCTATACATAGTCTATATATTAATCTATATCATTAATTGGTGTGGCTGCTGTATAGCAGAGGCACAATGTGTGTATATGCTAGATTTCATATTATTACGCATGCATGCCATTATCAAGTGTGCTTGCATGCTGGCGTGTTCAATTTTTCCAAACTAAATTGTACATCAAAAATAGCTAGCTAATACATGTACATGATTATTTAGTTAACAAATAACTTAAATAAGTTATTGTCTTCAGTTTTAAATTAAATTATCAGTCATGATCATCCCCACTGTCTCTTCTGTTACCTCCATCCATGGCTCTCCTTGCTTTCCAGATCTTATACACAAAAAACCCTATTCCTACTGCTATCAGTACTCCTCCAACAACCAGCAGTGCATTACTCCCAATAATACTTTCCTTAGGGAGCAAAGATTGAACTGACTTGCCAACTTTGGTGGGGACAATTGTAATTTCATTATGTTCCAGTCTAGCTGCACCAAGGACGGCTATTGTACTACCATATGGCAAAATATCATAATTTTCCCCCTCTTTTGATTTTTCAGGCCATCTTTGCAATACTTCTGTAAATTGCAGTGATTTATCAATGTCTACAACTGTGAGAATAATGTTTTTGTCTTTATGAGCACTTTCTATATTCTTGTTTTGTAGGTGAAATGGGATTGAGAAAATGGTTTCAGAAATCTCTGCATAATACCCTCTTGAACGATCCTTCGTAGCCTTTCCTGCAACTGATTTTCCTACATCTTTCATCCTAGTTGTTTTTTTCTTATGAACAGCGGGATCAAAGAAACCCCCAAAACGTCCTTTATTTTGTGCTTCAGTTACTCGCCCTTGTACTAGTACTGGTATATTATAAGTTCCAGCACAAAGGTTCTTTTTTAGTTTTACGTAGTCATCATTACAACGTGGTTCGAAAAATTCTGGTTTTGCAGGAACCGATGCTTCTTGATATTTTAGTACACAGCCAACAGCAAAACTAGCAATACCCACACAAAGAGGTAGGGTTGATCCGGCAACCAGTGTACCAATATCTGGAATATCCATATCTGAGTGTTTGATACGCTGTGCTTAGCTTCGCTGCACTGCCTTTCAGTAAAATCCCTGCAGGCCTGCGAACTATGCT